GTAGGCGGCGACGGTGAAGGCGAGGACGAGGAAATCGACTGCGGCGGGGTAGTCCCCGGCATAGATGCTGTCGCAGAAGTAGTGATAAGGACAACTGAGTTTTTCCATGGTTTCTTCCAGTTGCCATCGGGTGCACTTGAAGAAGATTAGGCTGATGTCTCGTGGAGAGCCCATGAAGGCCATGGCTGCTGATTCTATTCTATTGAAGAAGTTTATAGGAACATGGAGATGCGTATGGTGTTAGATGAGATGTTTCCATTGGGAGAAGAATGGGGATGATGAGAGTTCAGCTAATATTTCTATGGTTTTGTTTCCTTGTCTTGCTTTGAAGAAAGTCTTTGTCAAATATGGTAATTTTTGTTGGTGTGTCAGTGACTCTTGAACTTACTAGCTATTGTATTAATTATTAGCTAAAGGGTGGAGACTAATTTTCAAATTTATTGCAAACTTAATTTGGAGCTTTAAAAGTAGGGAAAAAAAATAAAAGAATCCCAGCTAATATTTCATTCTACCTGATCGTTCTATTAACATCATACAATATTCTTTGCAAATTATGACCTTAACCCAAAATGTGAGCAGATATATTATGTGTCGGTTAATCGTAATTTGAGTATTTTACACGAATCTGCATTAGGATTTTTCGATGTTCTTGTGCGTCTTACCTGTGAGGAAAGAAAGAAGATATATAGAAAGGGTTGAGTTTAGATTTGACTATCTGTCGCATGGGAGCGAATTATAAAAAAAAAAAGAATCCATTAAAACAATGAAATAATAGATATCTCGGTAACAAAAACTATGGGACTATATTGGCGAGATGAACAACGGCTAAAAATTAGAAAAACGGCTTAAATTGAAAGTAGAAATTACAAGAAGCATAATGGTATTTGAATATTTTAAATAGTGTTAAATATTAAGTGGTAGCTTTTTAAACATCTTAAACATAGCTCGAGTTATTTATAATAGCATAGATTATAAATTCAAATTCTCTCCCCCAATGCAATATGTCTACAAGAGAGAAAAAAAAAAGTGAATAGTTTGGTAATTTTAATTTAGAATAAGGTGGGTGTGCATTAAACGTGAGATGAGGCTTAGGCTTGAGGCAGCTTGCTTTCAAAGGGATGCTGTTAGGTAAAGCGATTCTTCCTTTGCATTTATGATGGAAATTGATCACCTTCCGCTTTTTCCATGGCTGTTTAAATCAACAAATGGATAGTGTTATTTTTCTGCTGGAAAATGGGTCAATATATGGTAAATTCAGTTGTATTTGTTATAGTACTTTCAGTTTTGTGAAAAATTATATATTTAATCCCAAAAAATAATTAACGACATAAAAGAAATTAATATTTTGTTTTGCTAAAATTAATTTTCAAGTGTAACATTCATTTCTTGGGTTTCTTTTAATGCAGGTGGAGATGTGAACAAAGCTTCTTTTGGTCGAGGACATATGTCCGGTTAAATAATTGACTTCTTAGTTAAATTTTAGGAAACGTAAATTCTAATGAATTATGGTCAAAACGATTATTTATTTATTTATTTATTTTTCTTTTTCAGTGAAGCATAGAGTAAGTGTAACGACCCAGAATTTTCCGCACACCTCTAGGTTACATTAACTACCCAACTAATCAAATTTAACCCCGACTACATCCTGCCAACTTCCTATGCACACAACTTATAAAATCAAGTTTCAATCCTCATCAATTTAACGATAAATCAATCTCATGGAATAACATTCAACAACATTCGTGAACCACTTCACGATGCAAGTTTATTATTCAATCTATATGAAACTAAACAAATGGAACAAAACTCAAATAGGCACCTATCCCGAAGCAAAACTAACCACAAGGAAAAAAATCTCACAATTATTCAAATACAAATAAACCGTTTATTGGCCACAACATAAGGCCTTAACCAATGACTTAAACTAAACAGGAATAACTAAACAGCCTATGATCCTCGCTCGTCATGTCTCCTCCGTCCCATCACCATGGTCACCCACGAGTCCTTCACCTGAAACAATCATTGTAGAAGGGGGGGGTGAGTATATAAAATATACTCCGTAAGTAGCCCTCACCAAGCACATACAAACATCATGCTCATAACTATAAAGGAAACATACATCGTCATGCTCTATCATTACAGTATGCGAACAACCATAGACATGCTCTACTATTACATTATACATTCAACCATAAACATGCTCTATAAGACCCGATGCTAACCACAATCATATAAAAACAACTACCGTCCACTTGGCTCCCTAACACCTCAAGTACATCTATGTTCACCTCAGCTATTCAAGCTTTCCAAGGTCATTCTGTTGGTAGTGTCGGCCCCTGACCATTTATACCCAGAGCCCCGACACTAGTGCATCGACCCTCGACCATTTATACTCGAGGCCTCGATGTATTTTCAACTATTGGCCCTTGACCATTTTTACCCAAGGCCCCAATAGTTCTCCTTTCGAAAGACTCCTCGCATCGACCCCCGACCATTGATACCCGAGGCCTCGATGCTCATCTTTATCCAATATTGGCGTATCGACTCCCAAACATTTATACCCGAGGCCTCGATACCCAATTAGTGACGTATCAGCCCTCGACCATTTATATCCGAGGCCCTGACACTCTCCCATTCACTTCATAACTTTCATAACTCGATCCACATAACATTTCTAGCCTCCAACCAAGATTTCAGTACTATTTCCCTAATAACTCCAACCACCACAACGCCCATCAACAACACCACCACTAGTATGATTTCAATGCATCTCTCAGCTTACCAACACAATTCAGCATGCTTCCACAACATAAACATCATTCTAATAGCAAAACAATAAACCAAACATGCTTTCACAACATATCAATTCTTAACAACCGCGCCACAGTGAGTTTAGTCATAACAAAGCATAGTCAACAAATTGCAAACGATTGAAGCCCAACACAATTCAGCCAAACACTTAATATCCAACGTCCATATCCAATAAGCATTGCCAGATATAATAAACAACTCACGAGACACGCCAAACACTTTGTTTGGGGAAGGGAATACCCTGGACACGTGGAGGACCCCTATTGGTTCTCCAA